CTTCTTTGACGTGACTTCGCATAGTCATTCATTCTTATTTTCACTGCAATTTGAACCCTCAATGAGAGGTACGTGGGAGTATAAAGGTGTGTTTATTTCAGGATAATCTATCCAGTGGTGTTTTTCAGTGCCAATAAATTTTTTTGTGCCAAAGAATTTTTTCTGTACCTAGGAATTTTTTCACTAGTCTTAGTTTTTTATTTATTTGTATTATGTTTCCGCCTCATTTACTGCTTTTCAAGTTTGTTACATTTTTTTATTCCTAAATTTTTGTTTATTGTATATATCTTAAGAAAGGCTTCCAAGTAAACATGTATAGAAAAATCCGAAGCGAGAAAAATATTATTTGTGCTGAAAACAAGCTTCGTTGGATAAGTGATATCTTAATCACATATTAAGTTTTATTCATTAGTTTATGGATTATTGAATAGGCCGCATGATTTTAGCCCTAATGTTAGACGCTGATGGCTTTGCTTGCATTTTAAAATATTTATTGAAGGGCAATCGCGGCAATGTTTTAAGATGCTTAACGATTGAAGATTGGCGTTAATGCAGCGGTAAAGTAAAATTAAATTATTCAATTAAAATGTTGGTTTTTTTAAAGTAATGGTTGGGTTAAAATTTAAATTGAAATTTCTATAAAGGATCTGACGATGGAGAGTTCCTTTGACTGAGTGAGAAAAATTCGAGCATTTATGATGCTTATGAGGCGTACTTTGCATTCGACGGATCCGATTGCAAGTGATTTCAATTTTTTAATTTCTCTCAATAACGAAAGTGAAAAGAATAGCGCTGTACTTTAATGTACAATATTTTACGTGTTTGTTAGTTCATACATTGTTTTCATCCTGAAAAGAACACGGAATTTTTTTGGGACCCAGAATAAGAGGAAAGAAGGTCGGGCTAATAACAAGAGGTTTGGGGTAACTAAATTAAAAAAAATTTAACTCCGTACTCACTGCAGTGAGTGACAGAGAGCGCATTTTCTCGTCGATGAAAACTTGAGGTCACGGACAGACGGACAGACAGACCGACGGACGGACATGGCGAGCATAATAGTGCATTTTTTCCATAAATGAGAAAATGCGCTAAAAATTACGGACTCAAATGTTGAAGCTCATTTCGAGATTAAGTTCTAAGAATTCCGTCAAAAAATAATCTATCTAATGAAAATGCCTTTTCTCAATAGAATTGCAAAGCGACATGGGAATTAACTTATTCGTGGAATAGAATTACAATCAAAGCTTTCGTTGCGTTCGGAAGTGTAGTCCTCCGGTAAGTGGAGTTCAATGCAATGAACTTCCCGGCACTGAAAGCAAAGTTCATAAATTAAATGAGTAAAGTTCTTTATAAGGATATTTTATTGAACATTTTACGTAAATATGAAAGAGCGTAAATCGATTCAAAATATAGATAAAATTAATTGGAATGAGTGGATTTACGAGTCGAAACAGCACCAGGTTTTTAAGAGGCATTCAGCTAACAATAAATTTACGTCGTTTGTTCAGACGAGGATCAATGCGCACTGTGAAAGATTTATTTTATTAAGATCAATGATTTGGGCATAGGAATATTTTGTCATAGTAATTTTGCCGAAAAGAAACGCAGAAATTGTATTTTTTGTTATTGCGGGGAAATGGAAACTTTGGAGTTAATCAAGATGTACATCGAGTTGATCATCGGCAAAGGCAAAATTAAACATCAGAAAAATTCGTAAATACTTAGCGCAGAGTAATTTGGAAACACATTTAGAAATTTTGAATATATTATTATTATATTATATATAATAATAATATATTATAATATATTATTATATAATGTATTTATTATAAATATATTATATTTAAAATAAATTATATTATATTTATAATGAATTATTCATAGGTAATAAATTTTTGAATTAACGCCGTTCACTTTGAACATTTACATGAAGGAAAAAAATTGTCTTCAGTTAGAAACAATAACTTGGATTAATATCACAATGTACTTTGCATACAAATAGAAAACATTTTATATATTGTGTAGCGAATGTTCACGTATAGTTCACGTGTGTGTTGGACCATACTGTAAATTTGAAAAATTACTCAAACCGTCCAACCGAGCAAATATTTCACAGGGGCTAAAGTAATCCATTACTTTTTGATATCAGCTCTCTTGTAAAGCACTCAACTGTCTTTGAGTTAAGAATGAACAGAATATGGAGCCATCTGATCACTAATATCTCAAACATCGAAGGGTCTAAATAAAACGTTACATTAATTTAAGACGCTGCTAAGACCTAAGATCGATCCTAACTATATGACTTCACAGAACAAATGGTATTTAGATATTGAAGTAAACCATATAATTGGATATTACTGTAAATATCTTGATTGTAAACCAATTTCTTCTTGTTGAAAAAGTGGTACCGAAAAATAATATGAACGAATCCAACGCGTCATTCGTAATCATTCAGTATGAGGAAATATGATGAAAGTTTTCCTGTCCTTCCGAAGCACTTTGCTTAACATATTATTGCTATTTAAAACATAAAATATTAAATAATAATATGCGCCATACACATCGCACAAGCGATTATATATTATTGACGTTAGACGGAAACACGGAATATTGAATTAGAGATATAATTTCAAGGCTCAATCGCCAACACCATTGCGGGTAAGATGAAGGAAATAACATTTATGGAAATATTTTTTTATATTCATTCATCGGGGATATATTATCTTGCGAATGGTCAGCTCCTGCATAAAGACTATCGTCTTGGGTGCATATGAGATTATATTAAATTTCGAGATTCCAGCAATCACGCTGAAGACAATCAGCAAATTATAGTCCCGGAATTATATCTTCAGGATCGTAGTAGAAATTATATGCAATATTTTTGATTAAGTAAAGCATGTAAGAAAAACTTCATGGAAATTTAAGAATGTACGGTTAAATTAATTCAAGAGTCTTGCTCGAATGAATTTTTCGTAAGTGTGCAGTAGATAGAATTTTTTGCATCATAGACAAAGTTGGATTTGCTTTATGAATTTTAAAGCTGAAAAATGACAATATTTTTCCTGATGAAATTGACTAATTAGAATAAGCAATTAAATATATCATAACTATCATTTATAATTATTTAAATACTCGAACGATTTCTTACTGTTCTGTTAAAATATGATAGAAATTTTCCTGTCAACAATTTTTAACCCATTTGATTTAATGAAGGACTGCTGATAGCCTGATAATAAATAATAATTAATTTTCAATCGGCCATATTGTACTTTAAATGCACGGTTTAAAACCTCCATGTAATTTTCTATTGTTGTCCGCTACTGAGGATTATTTGAATGTTATGTCAAATAATCACAAAAAGAATAAATTCCATCAAGAGGAAAATAAAATTTCGGTGCTGTTCATGGAAACTTTTGACCCCCCCCCCCCAAAAAAACATGAAGTAAAAGTTAAACCCATTCCAGAGCCAGATGAGATTGTGGTTATATGTTTCATAAGAAATTTCAGAAAAAAAAATTCTGTAAAAATTACTTTTTTCTTCCGCCCTGTAGTGACCAAGCAACTTTATTAGCGATAGTTGTGCGTCCTCCACACAATTTGCGGCACTCGGATTGCTTTCTCAGAATCCAATTGTTTCTCCGTTATTGAAAGGGAACATCAAGTTGTAAAATGTATTACTTTATGAGAAGATGATAAAATCGAGAAGGGTTATAGATTGAAGTTCTGTACTGAATTCTCTAAAGTATGTAATTATTCCTTTTTAAATTACGAATGCACCATTGAAATATGTACATACGCGCATTGCTCGAAAGTGACCAAATTCAGTCAAAGACAGAACATCTGCGCACGATTTGAAATACAGAAATGCCGACCGTTTGAAGGATGAAGTGATACCGAGTGAAAACTTTCCATGACGAGCTGCACTTGCAGTAAATCTTGGGCAGCACAAACACAGCCGTTCAGAATGAGTTACTGAGACCCACAAAGACTCAGCCATCCATCAGCGATTGAAAAACGCTCAACATTAAAACGTTAAAGATAACATTACTACTGCAAAGGCATTTCCCGATCACGTTTTTTATGAATAAAAGTTAATCGTCTTTTTTTTTGTCTACACGAGAATATTTTTTGGTCGATATCCATATAGTATCGACAGAGGCATTTGAATGTCGTTGAATCGATGAATTTTTCATTGATCTATAATAGAGGGTAGCTTTTACCGTCTATGGGGGCTAGTAATTCCCTTTTTCCCTATGTTTTCAACTATCAGTGAGGTGCAGGTTCGAGCCTCAGCTGAAAATTTTCAGGTAGATGAGGCTGGGTGGCCGGGTGTTTAAGAATAGCAAGAGTGAAGCAGTGCCTCGCGGGGTTGAGATGCAGCTATTGTAACGAAAATTTTGCCACGTGTCGATTCAATGACAAGCCATAAATTGCCTAAACTTCAAGGCTGACACGTCAATATTATGCACATTGTCATTCTGTATAATGCTGAAAATAAAATATATACATAGAACAGAGTGTAATTTAGGGTGTTAACTTCCTTAATAATTTCATTCCGCTACAAATACTATTTTCCCGAAGTCACAATGTGTTATTAGCTTGAGATTCATTTGATTATCTAACACAATTACGAAAAACAGAGTGATATGCATTCCTTAGGCTAAATTTATATAATATAAATAAACATAGATTTAATTCCTGATCAGCAGATTTCGTGTTATATAATTGGTTAAAAGCAACTGAGCCTGGTCAGTCAATTCAACCACACGTTGAGGTTTGTTTCAATTTCAAGCAACAAAGAAGATAGGAAAAAACTTGTCAGTCCACCAGTTACAATTAATCCAATCATATTTAATTACTTAAATTTTAAGTTTGTTTTAGGCTGATAAGAAAATTTCAGTGAAGTTATAGACTGAATCGTAGCAATAGTTAATCGTCACGCTAGTTTTTATCATATTAAAATTAAATGAATAATTTTTTCTCAATATTCGCCAGACTTGGGTTATAGACGGAAATTCTAAACTACTTGTAACTAATAAAATAGAGTTAAGACTATTATTCCGACATGCAAACTACTTAATGCAATTTTGAGCTACGAAACGAGGCGTCTGAGGCGATGTACCCCAGTGGAAGTGACTGCAGTAGCAGTTATACCGACCAGCCTGGCCAGAGCTACAGCACTGCAATGGAGTGCAGCCACTGTCCTACAGCAAACCCCATGTCAGAAGGATCATGGGTAGGTCTTGACGTGGTATCCAGCACATTACCTCGAGGCTGGGACGACCGAACGTTCATGGTAGAGTGCAACATACCAGGACAGGAAACTATACCTTTATCCGACACCATAGTCCAAGATCCAGACTGTCAGGCTTGTTCGGAATCACAAACGTCGACTCTAATTCACCAAAGAGTCACCCCTCCTTCACATTGGTCCGAAATGAAGTTCATGAGAACCCACGAGCCGCAATGGAGTCCATGTTGCCTGCCAGACGCCCGTTGTGGAAGACAACAATGCCTAGAGGATAGTTTATCCTTCGTTGAGCGAGAGCCCGTCTGCTGCGAGATGACGCCGCCGCCCCTGCAGTCTGACATCAACTCGTTGGTGTGTCCCGAGTTTCCGACAAATTGCCAGGTCAGACTATTTTAAATGTTAAATTATTTACTTAATTTTTTTGTTCAATTTCTCCAAATTTGTGATGTCCTATGTTCATTAATTGTACTGGCTTTGAACTGTCTTAACAAGATAAAATAACAAAAATACTAGAGCAGCACGCAAAACGATCAGTTTTTTCAAAGACTAAAACAGAGATATTTGTTGAAACGGGCTCATTCTAAATTAATTACCAAACTCAATAATTGCAGTACCAAATAGTCATAGTATTGATAAGAAAACCACAGTTCACATTTCATTCTCGTGCAGCTCACAACGCTAGCAGATCAAGATTCCGAAATTCTACCTGAAGTTCGTAACAACCGTCGAGGCTCTACACCTCTGCCCCTAACGTTCATCCCACCCCCACCCACCTCTTCGTCAACGGCTTCCAACCGATGCAATTCTCCTTCGTGCTTAATCATGTTCCACCGACATCAGTGCCTTCATAGCCGGAATAGATGTACATCTCCAGATCATTTATGTTCATCTAAATCTAAGCTAGACGCTTTACCTTCTCTTCCAGCCACTCTGCCACATTCATTTTCCTACTCACACCAAAAGCTTCATGATCACAATTTATTGGAAAGATCATCGATGTCACAAGATTCGTCTCACAGCATTACGTGTAGCAACACTCATCTTTCTTCTAACACTTATTTTAGCCAAAATACCGACACGAGGCTAAGCAAGTCCTTAGAAGACCTGCCCAGAGACATCCAAGACCACATCCTCAAGTGCAAATGTCCGTGCAACCACATGGGTTATGGAAATATTTCAGTGAGTAACATATTATATTAAGTTATTGTTTCTATACTGTTTCTTGTGCTCTCGTAATAATCAATTTATTTTATTTTCCGCTAAAGTCTCCATGCATATTGGCGCCTGATAAAACGTTGGAGAAGAAACCTTAACTATTTTTTTATTAAATTTGATCCCTTTTTTCAACACAAATGTTTTTGTTCACCTCACTGTCAGTCCATGATAACAATTTTCTTCCGGAATTCATACGTTGACTCTGATTGCTTCATCTTGTTCATCTATATTCATTTAATTTTTCGTACTATTATGAAACAGGGTTGCCAGACGATTTTTTTTCCGGACAAATTCCGCGATTTAGTTTATTTTCGATTGCGTTGGCAAGCTAAAATTTACGATGGGGGTACATCCTAATTAAATTATAAAAACTGCAAAAATAATTGAATTTTTACAAAGTAACCAACAAATATACTAGTATATATAGAGTTATAGGCCTTTTTGTTTTTTTTTCCGCGGACTTCCAGGGTTGCCAGGTCATCTGGCAACCCTGAATTATTTACCACTAGAAATAAATTTCGTGGTATGCATATGGACCACTTAGGAGTCAACTTGTTAAAACAAAATTACAACGTAGCATTCATTTTTGAGTAAACTTTTTACATAAAGAAAATTTTGGCATTGAAATATTTTTCGCAGTCGACAAAATTTGAGGATTCTTTTTTGATTTCAAACACAGACAGCCTTATTTGTCTAGGGCTCGCACTGCCAATTTGGCATAATGAAAAATTGTAAATTTCTTTCATGAAGAGAAAATTATAGTTGGAGTAAAATTTATCCGTTTCAATTTAAATATCAAAAATTACCGTCACCATTACGAAAAGCTAACATTCATGGTTTGTTCTCTAATGGTAATTTTTGCCTCTCAAAGCTTCATGTAAATCAGTTGTTTATGAATAGGAAAGTTTTGTTGAATGTCATTAGTAATGATAGCTTCGTTATAGTAATTATAGCTTCATTAGTAATGATAACTTCGTTAGTAATGATACCTTTGTTAGTAACGATAGCTACGTTTATGAAGATAGCTTCGTTAGTAATGATGACTTCGTTAGTAATGATAGCTTCACAGTGTCTGCAGTAGCAGTCAGGTGTACGCAGTGTCTGCAGTAGCAGTCTTCACGCACTGTCTGCAGTAGCGCACAGTTCCATGTCCTCCGATACGTCGCATGTAGTTAGTATCGGTCGCACCTTGAACATGTGCGAGTTTTCCCATCGTCCAGCGGCTCTTCATGTCCGATTACATCTTTTTTATGAACAATTGCTACCAAAAATCCCTAAACCTCTTAACAACTTCGCGTCCACTTCCCGGTTCGAGTAATCTTAGGTTCTTTTCGAGTTAGGAGGACATAAGAAGCTTTCATATTCGAGCCTAATTGCCAAAATAGGAAAATACAAATCGATTTTGGCATCCAATTGAAGTTGAGCGCATTCAGGATTCTGGAATAAAAATATTTTCTTCGATTGGCTATTTGCTTCAGCTTCATGGAGCCAACATTCAGGACTCATGGGAATAACGTCGAATCAAACTTTGCATTTCATCATAAAATATAATTTTTTGTTGTACTTCGGGTTCGGGTCAATGAATTAATTTACCGGTTTTGTTTTCATCATTAGATGATGTAAAAAATTCATTTTCTTTGCATAATTGTGCGGCAATAGCAAATTTATGTCCATAATAGTTCGAGAATTTGTTTATCGAGTTCCATTTCAATAATTATACTCTGTCCTAACGGGTATAAATTCACGTTCCGAATATTTAAGCTTATGATGATACAGGTTTCAGGAAGACCGGGTTACCGGTTTTCATTCAGAGAAAACTATGGTTCCCGCGTGCAAAGAAAACTGTTAATCAGGGACCTTTTGGACGCGAGTGAAGTTTCTCAAGTTGTGTATAACCAAACTTATGAAAAATATTTAAAATAATAGTTAAAAATTCCAACTCAATCTAAATGCACTGCAATAGCATAATAATAACTGAAGGAATACAGTGCATCGTAGGAAGGCTGGATGAGCATTAGGCACTCACCTTGACACATTGGGTAACAGCTAATTACGTTTCGTTTCATCGTAATGCAAATGTGATGTAAAAATTAATAGCTGAACGAACATTAATTCATAAAATTATGACCATTAAGCTAAAGATATAAGTCAAAAAATTCTCAGTAAGGAACTTTATTTTACAAAATCAGACGTCTGAAAGCAAACAAAAATATTTTGGAAATGATATTATTTTCTCTATGATTGATACTTGCTGAGGCGGCAATTGTACACAGGAGCTCACCATCGCCCAGACAAAATTTAAATGCTCTAAAATTTTTGTTGCTCTTAGCGCACGAAAAAATCCTCAACCGGCAGCAGGTCTCGACTATGGAAAATCAATTTCCACTGCAAATCTTGCCACATTGACTTAAAATTTTCAGGTGGCAATCCAGCTGTAATATTTTAGGCCAATCGGGCTCGAAAGGATGACGTCACGGCACCGAATCGCCAGATGCATTGTGGGATCGGCCGCCATATTTGTAGCAGGGTCTAGCTTTCGCCTACGTATTAAATCTACTGCGATCGTCTCTTTTTGAAGTTTTTGCTTGGAGATGGGACGCTACTGCATCGTTGTAGGATGTACCAGTCATTCTCACGGCCATTTAAACAGAAAACTATACAATGGAATGCGTTTATTCAGTTTACTAGCCGTGAATGCTGTGTATATCGTATCAGTTTCTGGCTCGTACTGATATACGTATCGCGTATCAGTTTACCAGCCGTGAATATTTATTATATACGATACTATACATTTTCTTGGGGCAAAATCTGTTACTTGTCTTTAGATAAGCTACATAAGTAAGAATAAAACGTAATAATATTTACAGATCAGATAACATTGTCATGATCCGTTATCCTGCAGCGATAATAGTGTTGTTGCAGTTGGTTGGTTTGTTGGAGGATCAAAATGATTCGCTTTGCTCTATAACATCAAATGTTTCGAGTTCTTTACATTGCCTTTCAATTTCAATATAAATTGGTTTTGCAAAACGTCGAGGTTTCTGGTGAATTGGTGTGTTGTTGAACACTGAACACTAAATATTTTGAAACACTGCAATCTTATTAATAGGCTTCGGAGATGATAGTGTGAACTAAAATTCCTGCTGCTCCAAAGAATATTATTTTTCGGGAATACTTTTGAACTTGACAAAAATATTTCACATTCTTTACTTGAATTTTTTATAATTGCTTGCAATTCATTCAATAGTAATTGATGAGTAAAGCTTGGTGTTTTGAATGGCCTGAAAGTAAGTCAGGGAATGTTTAATGGAAGAGGTATGCGGTCTAGTGTGGGTCGCGCAGCATGCAAATATACCCACGTCCCCCAGCGTACCGTCAGGGCAGATGCGGTCCAAGAGCAGCTGAATTTTTACCAAATGCGAAATGCATATCCAGTGGCCGGATCCTGATCGCTGGCTTTGGACCGAAATGCATCGGTAGCTACTGGACATTGTATCAATGAAGCTAGAAATTTTAAAATATTCATAGGTTATGTGCATGATGAATAATGTCCATTTTGAAATACAGGCAAGAGGTTAAAAAAATTAGATCAGTACTCACTGCAGTGAGTGACAGAGAGCGCATTTTCTCGTCCGTCCGTCCATGAAGTCATGGACGGACGGACATGATGAGCATAATAGCGCCTTTTTAGCGCATTTTCTCATTTATGGAAAAAAATGCACTATTGCGCTCGCCATGTCCGTCTGTCTGTCTGTCCGTCTGTCCGTCCGTGACCTCAAGTTTTCGTCGACGAGAAAATGCGCTATCTGTCACTCACTGCAGTGAGTACTGAGTTATATTCTTTTCATAAATGAGAAAATGTGCTAAAATTTATTTAATGGATACCAAAACGAATTTCCCGCGAATTAAATGATGTACACAAATGGTTTCCAGTCATTTAGGATCGACATGCATTAAACAACCTCCATGCAAGAGAAGCGCGATTGTCCTCACAGTAGGAAGAATTTGTTTGCATGGAGTTGAGACATTAACTCAAAAGCAAACTGATGCATTAAATCAAACAGAACAGGCCAGGAATTACTGCCTCTTATTTGGCATACTGCAAAAGCAATGAGTTAGGTTTCCTCGCATGTAGCCGATGCCAGAATATAATTCTATCCTCTTTGTTGAATAGAAACAAGCCTTTGATTGCACTCTCCGATGTATCGAGTGCCGAGAATAGCAGTGATCTATTTTGTTGCGGGCAGAGCCTTGCACCGGCAAAGCTACTGCACCTGCAGATTCCATTACCTGCAGCACATGTCTCAATTGCAGCCGGCCTGCAGCCGTATTCGGATTCCAGCTTTCATTACGAAATGTGGAGATTTGCGTAATTATAAGTTCGGTCGAGTTATGTGAAATGATTGCTCATTATAGAAATTTCAATAAAGCAAAATTTAGTCTGGCCCACAATTAAACTCTTCATCTGCAATGGGTTCCTAACAAGTTCATTTGAAAACATCACAGTTTTATCACATGAATCAGGCTGCAGTTCGCGGAACCTCCTGTTATCCTGTCGAAGTTGCTGAATTTTCTCGATTACTGTTTTTCGAATAAAGTTGTCCCTCGAACGTGGTTGCAGTGAGAAGGTCGATTCATGTACTAACTTGACGGTAAGGTTCACAGCCAAAGGCAAATTTTTTAGCAAAAGCTGGTTTTCTACAAGTCCGTCCATTGCAGTCACACGAAAAATCGGCACCGCATTTCCTTTGAGGGAAGTGGCACGAAGTTCATCTAAAATGTCGAATGTCGCCACTGCGACACACGAGAATTTTACGTCGTGATTTCCCGAGCACTCAGTATTTTTACTCTAGCAATTTACTCACGAAGAAAAAATAATTTTCTTTTAAAAGCAGAAAAGATTTACTCTCATTCATATCATCAAAAACTTATTACATTTTTGATGATTAATAATCTTCAAGGAGGTCGTTAATTTAATTGAAATCTTTTTTTCATTACAACCTGATATTTATAATACGTGATAACCTCCTCTGTTGTTACAATTGTGAAAATTACGTTATTTTAATTGTAATGTTCTCTCACCTTTTCAAATCGGTATTCGTAGGCATAGTGGAAATAATCCGTTGTTGAATGATTCTGTATTACGAGGATTAAAATTACGCCGATAAAAATCAGCACAGATCT